CAGACAGGTGTGCACACTCACACTCATACACATACCTTCCAATAGAAGGGGCCTTAGCTGTCTGGAGACTAGAAAAATACTTTCTGTCAGCAGTACCAGTTTGGCAAAGCATTAGAAAACAAAACTAACCAGATAAGTCTCCTGGAAATCACCAACTTTCCTCCTGAGATGACATTTTCCTGATTTTCTCACCCTGAGCTCACTTCCCAGTCTCAGTTCTCTATCCTTTGCCCTTCTCCAGCTCAAACAAATCTAGGATCCTGCCCTCATCCTCAACAGGAGGTACTAGGCAACATACTCAAGAGTTTTCTGTGGGAAGGAAGGTTGTGTTGCGCAAGAGCTGGGGTGGGGATTAGAGGGGGAGAGGCAGCGAAGAACAGGGAACACTGGTGGTCCCCCCCTTTATCACATACAGCGGGGCCTTCTGGAAGCTAAAACGCATAGACACACACACACACACACACACTCACACACACACACACACACACACACAGAGATACAAACAGAGCTGTCGCTGTTCCCATGACAGGATATTATGAGACACCACAAAGCCCACCTTGTTGAAGGTGGGAGGAGATAGTGATGCCTTCATCATGCTATTGGGGATGCCACCCTGTCCAGTCTAACTGGCCATCTTCCTTGCCCACTTGCTAGAATTCTGGTGGACTGTCAAGGCACATGGTAAGAAATACCTACAATGTGGAAGGTCAGGGATGGGGGCACCATTTATCACCTAGGTTCATGTGATAAGACTCAGCATTTCTTGGTTCAATGAAGGGACCAGGTGAAGGTAACTAACTAGCTTTCCTCTGGATTATCAACTTCACTGTCCCTACACAAGAGCCACCCATTTGACCACTCTGACCATCCTCCCTTGATCCATACTGTATTTTATCAGCTCCTGGTGATGACAATGACAATATTGGGGTCACAGGTTGGTTTCACCATTATTCTCTCACCTGCCACTCTCATGCACACATACATTAACAGTAATAACAACAGCACTGAAGATATGTCTCGTTATCACATGAAAATGTTATGTGTCCCCAGTTTTTCCAAGACAGAGCTTCTTAATCCTCAAAAAACAGAGGACATAACAGCTCTCAAGAGAATCTGCCAAAATACCAAGAGGACAAATCTTTCTCCCATCAGGTATTTTGAAATACATATAAAAGTTACTCAAGAAACAAGAGAAACAGTGCCATCATGAAAGAAGCCAGTGCTTCATTCCTAGAGAGATACTACAGTGAGGCTACACCTTTCCCTACTCTTCCAATTCCTAGTTCCATCCATTACTAGTTCCCTACCCACCCACTATTCTCTTTTTGCCCCTCACAAGATTTAAACTATAAAGATGACCTGGTACAAAGTCTGACAAGTGGCAACCCTGAAAAATCAACAAGAATTCACTAACTCACCCAGTGATGTCCACCTGTACTACACAGGAACTGAGTCAGTCATACCTGAAGAGGTCAGGGTGGAGGGAAGGGTAGAGACAACAAAAAAGAACAGTGAAAGGACTGCTCCTCAACAAAGGATGACTGCTCCCCGTATGGAAACCCAAACCAAGAATTCTGTCCTCTCCCTACTCCCTTTTAAGGTGAAACAGGTGGCTAATAGTCAACAGATAGCACTTTTCAGGATGTCAGCTTGTGAGAATGGCCTCCCCATCATTGACAACACACACACCCTCCTATATCCACACCCACACACCCACCTTTATGCCACCTGAAATTAGCCCATTTGAATTAGCAGCTGGGTTAACACTGGATTTTACCTGAGTATCTGATGGTATAGGAGGACAATGCTGAAGGTGTGGGGAATTCCTTCTTTGAAGAAGGAAGAAGGGAAGCAGAGAAGGGTGGGGGAGAGAGGTTGAGGGGTGTTACTGGCAAAATGAGAAACTTGCCTAAACAGAATTTTTTCCTTTAAAAGCTAATAGCCTGGGCTTGCAACTCTCTTCCCCTACAGTATCTCAACCTCACTTCCTCTGGTATTTCCTAAGGGTGAACGAGGTTGAGGTAGGGAGCACAGCCCCAGAAAAATTGTCTTCTCTCTGCCCTTCCTCAGCCCCATAGGATAAGCTATGTCTATCTGACCTCTTCTGAATTTTGTCTTGTGTTTTACACAGCAGAAGGCCTGTCACTTACATGTCAATCACATTCCTTCATACCTAGTGGAAGCTCCTCTGACCTATGCTTCCTCCTGGAGATGCTTAGAACTAAATAAAACCTTAATATTCATTACTAAGAAGTCCCACTGGGGCCTGAGGATGCAGATACAAGAGATTAGATTTCTTTCCTAACAGCACAGGGGAGATGGAGGGAAGAGCAGGAGGAAATGAGCAGTTCAGGACCCTGGGGTGCTGAGGGTAGAGGAATTTCCTCAGCTGGGGCCCTAGAAAAGCCCTGACCCAGATGGCAGAAAATACTGATCAATTTCATCACAGATGACCCAGGCAAATTGCAGAAATGAAGGATGAATCTTAGGTAAAAAATAATTGAGCCTGACAGTATACAGAGTGTTTAACATCAGATTCCCACTGCCAAGAAGGGGGCAGGAAATTATATCCATGTTTGGGGGAGAGGCAGAAGGACCTTGGCACTTGGTATAGCCTGACCATCATTCTTTGAGAAGGTCTAGGCTCTTGCCATGTAGCCTCCTAACCTCATCATCTTCAAATCTAAGAAAGACCTGCTGCTTTTCGTCCACACTCTCTGAACAGAATAAATGATCCTTGAGATCAGCAGTTCTCAAATGGCACCCTATAAGCTGGCGAGGTCCTGAGAGGTCCCACACATATCTAACTCCCTGTCTAGCCTTTGAAAGGACTTAAACCAAAAGCAAGCAGAGTGCAGGAAGTTGACCTCAAGATCCCAATCTAAGAGGATAGCTGCCATATCACTCCAAAGGACCCATGCTCTAGTTAATTTGGTACCACCTTGGTCACTCCTTACCAAGTGGGTAAGTGGGGTAGAATCTGGTTTAATTCTACAAAGTACATGATGATGAAAGAGTTGGCCTAATATGAAGAAGAATTTGAGAAGAGAAGAAAGAAGACTGAAGGAAATGTGTTTCTTTGGTATTCGATCAACACAAAAGCTATAATGGGTAACATTCTTTCAGAGCAAGGGGTAGGGGGCAGGAGGAAGGAGAAAAAGTTATTGGTATGCAGTCTCCAGGCAGCTTTCATGGGGTACTGAGAGCAAGGACTGGGATCAAGAGAGTAGAAAGCAAAGAGAGGCTCTCCCCATACTTGCCCTTTCAACCTTCACTTTACCACAGACAACAAAAAAGCTTTGTCAGGAAAACATTGTACCTCTCTCCTCTTACACCCCTCCCCCCATACCCATATATTCATTCACACACACACACACACACACACACACACACACACACCACACACACTCTCTCTCTCTCTCTCTCTCTCTCTCTCTCTCTCTCTCTCCTCTCTCTCTCTCTCTCTCTCTCACACCCATCTCTAGGAAAAGCTAAAACCCACCTATGGGTCAACAAGACAATTTTTGGAAACCACTTATAAATCACCCTAGGGCTCACTCTAAAAGACTATATTGCCTTTCCCTCCTGAGGGTCACTGAGTTACTGACACACGCACTTCACCGGTTTACCACTGCTCACAACAGGAGAAAATGTAATCACGCCAGGCTAGGAAGTTAACCTAAATCCAGGAAAAACCCAAAGCAGAGAAGCCACAAGCATCGAAGTCTTGTAGTGGATTTTACATGATGTACAATTGGATTGATCCAGTTATTCCACAGACACAGTACAAAACTATGCCCCAAAGTGGCCAATATGATGGGAGTAAGCTGACCTTAGACACCATCTACTAGCCACAATTCCATAGGACAGGTTCCCTCCACAACTAAGTCACATACTTCACTTTGCTAAATAGCGTTAAGCAAATATCCCTGTAGAACTCTTCACAGTTTGGTGAATGGCTCTCCTGTCCACAAACATGCCAGAGACTTAATCTATAAAATATATATTCTTTCTCACACTGGAAAATTGCCTAATTGCTAGAAGAGCCTGTAAAGAAGTTAATGTCTTTTTTTCTGGGAAGAGACAGAATTTCACCCTGCATTCCGAAAATGTCTGCTGAGCCCCAAAGGCATCATCCTGTCTCGGTGAGAACTGCAGCCTGGGCTATATTTGGCAAGTGGGTAGGGACCAGAGTGGGGGGCAGGGTAAGGAACATGAAAATACATTGTGGCCCATGGTATTCCTTTTTTTCATGATTCAATGTAATATAAAAACAAATGAGAACTCCATTATTTTGAGTGCAGGTTTCTGGGGACCCTGAAGGAGTTAGAGTGGGGCTGGGAGAGAAGCGAAAGAGAGAAGCAAACAGCTTATTCCCATGTGCCATAAATATTAACCTGAAGATAATGCCCTGGGAACCCAGTCAAAAGCGTGAGGATTCCGTGCTAGGAATTAACAAAAACTCACCCCAGGGATCTAGGCCTAGAAGTCACATCATACTCTCAACAATCCTTAGTCTGAAGTTAGCTCCCTTGACCCTTAAGCTAGTCTCTCCCAAAGGCCTCAGGCCATCTTGGAGAGGGGAGAAAAGGGGGGGATGCACACATGGGGAGAGGAAGAGGAGAAGATAAGGAGGGCCCAGCTTCACACATCAGACAGCTTAAAGCAGCCCTTCTATCTCTGTCTACTTCCCAGATACCTGAGAGGTGGATGGCATGGGATGGTGCATTCCTTGTATGAGGATTTCCCTCATTCCCCATCATCCAGCCCCTATTCCCAGAAACTTGGGCTTCACCTTGTTAGGTTTCTCAAAGATACCATAACATTCCCATTGGTCTTTCCTGTGGATAAGTAGATTTTAAAAAGGGGAAAGGAAATTAGAGAGCTTTCTTCCCTTTCCAGTTTCCCATCTGACTGCATAAAATCAAAGAAAATAGTATTCTCAAATGTTAAACCAGAGCTAGACTTCTCCACCCAAACAAAAGGAAAAAGATAGGAAATAATGTCGCCTTTTTAATTTCAATCACATATGCTGTCTAAAGCCAGCCAGGATCCCGAGCCCCCATGCATCTGTAAATTGTGCACTTAACCAACGAACAAGCCACCGGTGCTCTGCCACAATGTAACAGAGTAACAGGGTACGACTCCCCGTTTTCTCACACGCTCCCTGGCAGATGAGGGTGACACTGCAGAGGTCTCCACCGCCGTCTAGCTCCCCACTGACCTGGCCTGCGGGGGCAGCTGGGCAGGCTGTTGGTTGGGGAAGGCCCTGGCCCAGGGTATCTAGGAGAGGGGAAGAGAGAAGGCAGGCTGTGGCTGCTTACACTGTTGCATACGCATGCAGACTTTGTTCCAATTGGTTTGGGTTTTTTGTTTTTGTTTCCTCCCTCCTTTTTCTAAAATGATCTGATTATATTGTGAAATCACAACAGGTGCAGGCTGCCCGGACGAGGTAAGTACGGTTCAGTGGTGCTTTCTTTCTCCTTGAGCTCGCCAGCATGACCCCGGCCCGGCCTATTTCTGTATCTGGAATATAAAGAGCCGCAGATTGATGTTCTTGGCGGCCAGCAGTTTGTTGCACTCCACGGAGTCTATGATGGGGAGCGGCACGTAGTCGGTCTCGTTGTTCTCATTGGTAAAGACAAAGTGGTAGATCACAGGGTTGATTTTCACATCGTCGTAGGGCCCCTTGAGCAGGAGGAAGGAGCACTCCATGGGGGAGCTGATCTTGCTCTTCAGGATGAGCTGAAAGGAAAGGGTGCGCTTACAGGACAGATTGGGGTTCCTCTCAGAGTCGTTCACCCGCGCCTTCAGGACCCACGTCTGGCTCAGCACGGTGAACCTCGGCGTCTCGTAGTAGAGGCGTGTGATGAAGTCATCGGTACGGTACGGGCGGAACTGAACTTCTGCAATGGCACAGAGAGGGACAGGGAAGAAAGACCAGGAAGTTATTGAGGGCCATCGGCAGGGTGGACAACTAGCTCATATTACCTGGGGCTCCCGTGTGGAGCCTTCCTCAGAACGGATGAAGACCGAAGGGGTCCAACCGCTCGAAGCTGGGTTAGTCTCAGGAAGAATGTGACTTACCGAGAAGAAACTCAATGCACTTTAATTTTTAAATGACAAGTTAACTACAGGAAGATTTTCAGATGCATAAGCTTTGGGGGGGAAATAAGATAAAATACAAACATGGTTAATTAAAATCAGCTGAAGAGAGACAATAGGTTGCAAGAGGTAAACAGCAAACCACTTTGTGCTATATACCAGGAGCTAGATAATGACATAACACATACCCCAAATAGTCACTCCTTAGCAGGTCCAACCTGTCCTATTATTATACTTGAATTGGGCTGCCATCTAGAAGCATCTTGCAATTCTAAAGTTTTGAGCAAAAATTCTTCTGATCTACAGGGCACTGCCAGGCACTGGGTGGGTGGAGGGGAGCTCCTAGAGTTGGCAACTGGCACCAATTATGGCTTTGGGAGACTAGCTCATGGTGTGTGTGCCCACAATGGAGTAGGGGCGGAGAACAAGCAGAACACACAGACAGGATACGGTTCTGAGAACAATGTGCATTTTATTTGGATTTGGATACACAGCCGTCAACAAGGTAAGGCACAGACTTGGCATCGCCGCAGAGCAAACCAGAGGGCAGGGCAAGGGAAATACAGACTGTCCATTTTCAGCAGGGTACAGAGAATGCCAGATGAGATACATGTATAGATTATGTATAAAGAAAACAATACATTGGGTTGAGCTGCTCTGGGCTCAGATTTGCAAATAGGCTAGTAAATCAAATACAACTAACCAAACCTTTCCAGACATAGTCCTCTTGGCTCAGTCCAGGAAACCCTTAGCCAGCCAGGTCCACCAGAGGGCATAGCCAATGTTCTCAAGCTATCACCCTGGATCAAGCAGGTAGTTTCCATGTGTTAAGTCTTTACTTTACAAACCAAGAAATCTCAAAGCACAGCTACATATACAGCCTTATTGTGCAATTCATACAGAGGTACACATTTTCCAACATTTTCTATGAGAGAATTAAGCGAGCACAACATATCTGTGTAGTAAGGTTGACCAGTTATTTCAAGCTACACACAATTTATGGTATTAGCCTAGGACCAACATCATCATTTTCCTGGAATCAATCATAACCCAAATGCTTCTCTGGCATCTGTCTCATCACAAAGTGTATACGTCCACTGGGGGCAGGAGAACGTTCCTAATCTGGCCTCCAGCCCCACCGACTGCATAGGACATGGTTAACAGCCCTGGCTCATTCCCACCCCACAACTCCCCAAAGATGGCTAGTGATGGAGAACATGGTCCTTAACTGGAGATTCCACCACAGAGCACAGCCCAAGCCAGCCCCCAACACCTTGGCAAACAAGTCTTCTCTCAAGTGCATCCCTGCACTTGGTGCCAAGACAGGGACTCTTGTGTGAGGCCAGAGTTTGGGATTCCCACAATGGCACCAGCTGCCCCAGCACGTTCAGACCCCATGTAGTATGGCACTGCTGCATGTTAAAGTCCCACTCTTAGGCCAAAGATCCAAGGAGATCCAGCCAGCTAGTATTTAACAGGTCTGTCTGTTATGGTTCTGTCTCAGCAGCGCCTAGGACAGATGAACTGTTTTCACAGCTCAATCTGTTGTCTGAATCTTCTAAAAGAGAGACATTCTTTGACAGCTTTTTACAATGCATTGCTGATTGACTGCCCGAGAACAAGGATGCCCTGCTGTTCTTCTCCAGAGGGCAAGAGACTTCAGGACCCCCAAGGAACTTCTCATCTCAGCCCCAAGCGTCAGTCATTTCTGAGCAACAAAAAATTAGGTGCCCTATCCCATCTCAACTCAGACCCACACCCATACATTTTTTAGTTCAGATCCACATTATCTAACCTAATACACTGACCAGAGATCTACAAAAGTTGTGAAAGATTATCAGTGAGACGGGCAACAGCCAACTTACCTGGGTCAACAACACATCCTTGTCTGTCCAGGATAAGGCATGTGGAGTAATGCTGTTTGCCAATTTCTTTTAATCACTCTTCCCCAATCCTCCCATCACTCCATACCCCAAGGCTTTTGCCCCTTAATTCTCTGCCCTTGAGGTTAATCAAAACCTAAGCCAGAGTTCCTAGGTACCTAAGGAAGGAGAGAACAGGCTCAAGGTTGGGCTAACCTGAAGATGAACCTTACTAATGGTTCGTCCCTAACCTTTCAACACCAGGGAGAAAACTCACATGAGATGAATTTAGAAGAGACCTATCACATGCTTTCCCCTCCCAGGGCCAAGCCACGGCAATGAGAGGACTTGTAACACCCACTTGGGTCAGGGAATTCTCCTGAAGCACAGAATCCTAGCCAGGAAGGCAGACAAGGAGTGTCTGTCAGTAAGCACACTGTCAGATGTCAGATGACTTTCAAGAAGACAGAAAGGGTCACAGCAATAGTTTCCTGGATTTCAGATCCTGCGTTCTCCCTGGTCTTATGTACTTTGCAAGTGGTTATAACTACCGTCTTACCTCCATCCAACAAGGGAATAACCACACCACATCACAGCTTAGCTCAGCCCAGCCCAGCCCAGCCCAGCCCAGCACACCACACATAAATCCTGTTCTCCAAGGAGCCTGAGCAGCTTCAGCATCCCCAGCAACCCTGGCCATATGTCCCTATTCACCCCTCCTCCCCTTACATGCCATTCTATCCAATGCTTCTAGACTACCCCTCTATATACATCTAAATCCCCATTCTTCATTAAGAAGAGATGGGATACACACACAGCTGAACTACATTCCTATGTCAAAATGGACTAAAAGCACACACACAGTACAATGACTGGAGACAGTCACTGTGCAGCTTTTTTATGAAAAGAGGGGCCATGGGTTAAATATATGACAAACACACTTAAGGAAACGTTCAGAGGAAGAGGAGTTCCCAGGGCCCCTCACAGCCTCTCAGATGATTACCTGTGTAGCCGATCTTCTCAAAGCTGAGCAGGCTGAAGATGCTGTTATATAGCTGCATCTCTTTCTTGTGGGTTTGGTCCATCTCATCCAAAATCTCCATTAGCTCATTGCCAGTCTTGGTGGGATGTGTGCACTCTGCTTCATGCACAGTCAGCTCATGGAAGGGGCCCTGCCACGGGCAACCGATACGTTTGTATTTGCACTGCGTGACCCTGCCAGAAAGATGACACACATGCACATGTGCATCACTGGAGACTCTGGACATAAAGCATGCACATAGAGGGCACAGCCAAAGATGCTGCAAGGCCCTAGGGCAGAGCGCAGGACTGTGCCCTACCCCAGCAGTGTCATCTGGGACCCATGGACATGTACCATGAAGGACCCTGAACTTGTGCTGTCCTACAAGTCAGCACCAGCCTCAAATCTTGACCCTACATTTTAGTGCACGTAGAGCCCTAGATTCATAGCACACACAAATGATCCCGTTTTTTCCTACATCCTTCCACCTTCATGCACTACTACAACATTACACAAGCATATTATGCTAGTATTATTTCACTTCTGCACTCCAGAACATTAATAAACGCTTTTTTGGTTAAGAAAAACTACCTAGCACTACTTGAAATCTCAAGTTCAATTCAATTCAACAAGTGATTTAAGTCCTACTATGTACACACAGCCCTATGCCTCCCAATCAGTGTTCTCAGTTTCACAGTCCTTGAAGGCAATGAGGAGTTTGCTGATGATGAACTAGGCAAAGAGGTGCCAGAAGTCTTGTAATTGGGCTGTCAACGTCCCATCTAGGAAACTTCTGGTATTGCACAAGCCCAAGCCCTAAATGATCTCTAACCATGGCTAGGGCTGGGGCCACAGTCCTGTTTTCTACAAGAAAATTTGACAGACTACCCTCTACTAACAGCTTTAAACTAAGGTCCTGAAACTGTTAAATTAGATCAGGGAAGGGGGAAGGAAGAAAGCATGGAGTGAAGCCAAACCAGATCATCAGGACCATTAACCCTACACAATGAAATTGGGCCTCTCTCCAAGGTGCTTCAGGCTGGGAAGGACCCTGACCTGGATCGGTCAAGACTATTCCAGGAAAAGGCCCACGTCCCTAAGGCTGAACGGGAATCAAACTGGTTAGAGGAAGGAATAAGAATGGGTAGGGTAGCAAAAGAGAAGCATTTTCATTCAGCCAGTAGGGCACGCATGATTTCCTAAATCCTATTTGTCAGCTATACTGTTGAAAAGAGAACCAGAAAGGACATCAAACAGGGCATATGGGCTGGCCTTGAAAATAGGCTTTTTTCTATGTGTGTCTTGTAAGGACACTTCAGCCAAAGCCCACAAAAGTGTCTTCTTGACTTCTGATGTAGGAAAGGTAATAACAGAGTTTGTGACAAGGTAGCTAGCTTCTATCCCAGACCCAGCATACAGTTGGTCATGACCTGACTATAGGCTTACTGCTTTGCAGCAGGGGATCAGCAATAGCCACCCCAGAATCAGAATCCCATCTAATCAAAAGCCTAGATTTCTTGCCGGCTCCAGGTCCCCCTAGGTCTCGTGAAATCCTCTTTTCCCAGCCCAAATGCTTAGGTTTGGTTCAGAAGTAGAGCCTTTGGGCCACTTCCCTATTGGAAGTCTTCTTCCTCCAAGGGAAAGATAGGCTGGAGACCCAGGCAGGATGTATCAAGAATACAGAAGGACACCCAGAGGATAATTCAATAACTGAAAACTAAAGCTTACTGTAATGATCAAGGGCTTGCTTAGCAGAGGCCGGACACATTAGGATGAAGGAAACGGGTAGATGAAAAGATTTATTTCAGCTATGACACAAGAAAGGGCTGGGACAAGTATAGCTATAAGATTGTTCTACCAATTTCTGAATTAGAACATTTCACAATCTTCACTCTGAAGGCAGGATTCAGGATTTCTAGCTAGCTACTCTCAGAAGATTCACTAAGTCACCAAGTTTCTTCTGGAGTTTCTAAATTCCTTTGGGAGGTCCCAGCTGCAACAATTTTTGTTCTGCTTTTGGGTCTTAAACTCTGATTAAAGAATTAGAGATGTGGCTACAGGCCCCAGGCCTATCTTATCCCCAGAGCAGGATCGAAGGATGTTGGCTTCTGTCTGCTTCCTCAGAAATATTACTTTGCTCCTTTCAGAAATGTCATTCTGGAACCATTAAGCCAGAAGGCCATGGGGAGAGCAAGGAATTAAAATCATTCACATTTTTCACCAACTTAGAAATAACAAAGCTCTCCCTACCCTTCTCTTTTTACCTAATGCTAAGCATGGTACAATGGCTCCAGGGAAGCCAGGCTGATTTCCATCACAAAAGACCTATGTTGATACCAAAATCTTGACAAGAGGACACTGCTTCAGTCCATCCAAGAAACTCTCTCAGAAGATCTCAAAACTTCTCCCTCACCTGGGAGGGGAAAAAAAACAACACAAAAAACGCCAAAGTACTCTAGTAACCAGGGGAACCGAGGCCAAATACCTCAAAACAGCCAGAATTCAAGAAGGATGAATGTCAGTAGGAATCCAGCAAGATTTGTGTCATGCCACTTGGGTGAAATGCAGTAGCCTCCTCTTCTCCATCCTTACTCTGAGACTGGGTTGGCTAATAATGGACGAGCGGCACATGGTCTTAAGTCTCTCTTTCTACTCAGTCTCTAGCATCATATCCTGAGGAACACTACAGGAACTTAAGCCAACCTTTGGGTACTAAGCCAATGGCATTTAATCCAGGATACATGGATTCCATTTTTTCTGACAAGAATTTGATGCCATTACACAGAGGTTCCCCAACTAGTATCCACTCAGAAAAAAGTGCCCTCATGAGTGCAAGAATGAACGTAGGAAGATCAGGGTTCAAGTTTCCCAAAGGACTACATCAATCATTGGGAAGAATTTTGGGCAGATCTGGACCCTTTTGGAAATGCTTTACTTGGTTAAATCAGGCCTGGTCTAGTACTCCAGGGAAGACAATGCTAATGAGGAGTCTTGTGTGAAGAAGTCTCTCTCCAATTCCAGGTAGAAAAGGCAATTCTCAGTATCTCAAACTCACTGTCAACTCTCTCATCTGGGAAGGCAAGCTGACCAATGGCTGGATTCCAGAAGTGACTCAATTAACAGCCTCTTGGCTGCCAGGGCCCAGGACTCTAGTCCCCTCACTACTGCTATAAGGCCAACTACCAGACTTCAGAGCCAAACTTGTCCAAATAGCATCACCCATCCTAAATAAAAAACAAAAAAAACATAGCAACACTGAGCAGAGATCAAGTTAGACTCTCCAGGAGAGCAATAGGGCCTAAGCCCAAGGGTGAAAAGCCTGCCCTATGGGGCTCCTTCCTGGAGATATGAGGGAAAAGAAACAAAGGCCTGCATCCTAACTTTCACAGGGTGCCCAGTCAACGTTGCCAGAGTTCACCACTGCAGAGGAACGACAAAAATAATTCTAACACCTTAAGGTTACAAAGTCTTTCCTTACAACAGCTCTGGGAAGTGGAATGTGTAAGTTCATCTCCATTTTATAGGTGAAAAGACTGAGAATCTGAAGTAGAGTGACTTTCCCAAGGTCAGACAGCTAATAAGTGGCAAAGCCAGGGAACGAGAGAGCCCATCTCCAATAGGGCTATGACTTCCTGCGAAGGGGAAGGAAGGTAGGAAGGGAGGGGCAGAGAGCAGCCACAGGGGGCGCTTTACCTGTCCTGGCACTCCTCTTTCTGATGCCTCTCCAGGAGGGAGCGGGGGAACTGGCGCATGCAGAAGCCGCACTCTGACGGCAGCTCACTCACTGCTTTTTCCACAGCCAGGTTTCGGCAGCAGAGGCTCTTACTGATCTCACAACGACAATTGGGGCATGTGGCCTGTTCCTCCTTCAGCCGGGCATCTGCTAGTAGGTGGATAAAACAGCCAGCGCACATCAAGTGACCATTAGTACACTGTGAAGAAGGAAAGGGAAATGGAGCTTCATAGACCTGGTGGGTACCCATACACAAATGCATGCGCGCAGGCGCTTCCTCCAACTCCTCCCACGAAGCCCCCGTGTGCGCACAGGAACCAACACAGTACAAAACCAGCATCATGGCCTGATTCAGGCTGGCGTGGGCTCAGAGGGCACTACTGTGGATAGGGCAGTCTCCAAAGACAGGTACAAAATGACTGTCTTCACTCAGTAAAGTGACTCCAGAGGAAGTTTACTTCCTCTTACACTATCTGCCAGCAATTAAGGAAGCAGCCATCAGCAGGGTCCATGGTCCCCAGGTATGAATGGGCAGGCTTTAGGAAATTGGCATGGCTTCTTTATGCATTTTCTCCAAAACAAAAATAGTACTATTCTTTAGTAAAGTAAGCAAAAAGATTCCATTAACCATTAGACCTTCTCAACTTGATTCCCTTGTTAGAATGTAAACTCCTTGGGAGGGACTGTTTCAGTCTTTCTGTTTGTATTTGTATATGCTATATGTTGGGCATCTAGCACAGTTCCTGACATACAGCAGACACTTAAATTAATACTTGTTGATTCCTTATGAAGAGAGAATTTTCCACCCAAAATTATGCTGACTGCCTGGGAAATAGAACAGAGGTTGAAATAAAACTTCACCCAAACTGCTATGCTTCTGGCAGTCCAGTTTCTTCCAAGGCATATGTACTGGCTAAGCTTTACACAAAAGGTAGACCATCTCCCCACAAGGACCCCCTTCTTTTAGCCATTTGGTACCTCAAAAGAGAGGTAACCATACCATTTCTCAAGGAAGATCCCCTCAACAACGCCAATAAACTCTGCTGAGCCATGTGGGGTCAAACGACAGAATTTGGGAGGCAGAAGGGACTTAGGAGGCAAAGTAGTCTAACTTGTAACTGGAAAATTATCCCCTTTACAACATAACCAACAAACAGTTATCCAGTCTTTGCCTGAAGAGCTTTAGGGTAAGGAGGAACCTACCACCCCTGAAGTAGCCTCTTCTACTTTGAGAAAGTTCTAAAAGTTAAGAAGTTTTTCCTTATGTCAAAAGCCAAAGTCTGCTTCTTTGTAACTTCTATCCATTGCTACTACTTTTGTCCTCTGGAGTCCTGTAATAGAAATATACAACTCTTTTTCTCCACAAGAGGCCTTTGAAGACCTAAAGACAATTACCATGTCACCTGGGTCTATTCTTCTTCAAATTAAGCATCTCCAGTTTCTTCAATTGATCCTTATATAATACTCACTAGCTGTTAGACCACGGGCAAGTAACTTAGTCTCTCAGTGTCTCAATTTCCTTACCAATTTCCTTAAATGGGGATAATGCCCACCACCCAGCTCAGAGAATTGTTGTGAGGAAAATTCTCTGGAAACTTAAGAATTACTAAATACATGTAACTATTATTAAACAACAGAGTACAATATCCCGAACACAAAGTAAAGAAGACAGCTTCAGAAAAAAACTGTGGTCGGCACTGTTAGGTACTTCAGTGGTAAAGGACTCTTTAAAAAAAAAAAAAGTCTTATATTTGGTGGTCGTGTCATTGATGACTTCTAAGAAAGCAATTCCAAAAGAGTAACTGGAACAGAAATATGTTGCCAAGTTACAGTATATGGTATTCTATTCCTGAACTAGATTTTTCTATAGGTACTATACAGGATTTGAATTGGGCCTTTTACTATTGAAAGGACATTTTGTGATAGTTTTGTAAAAAGACAACTTATAATACATGAAAGGCATTTCATTTCATTAGATTTCAACCTAACATACATATGAGCTAAACAATGAAGACTAAAACAAAGGCAACCCAAGTTGGCTATCAAGTCTGCATTCCACCTTTCTCCAACAATGTTTCCACTTCCATTCCTCCTTCCCTTTTGTCTCCCCAACAACAGGTATCATAGGGAAGGAAGGATCTCCAACATCCCTTCAACTCAAAAGGAATAGACAGGAATAGCCCGGTTCACTGGTATCCATGGCTAATCCAAAGGCTCCAGTTTCTTCAGCAGGAAAAGCTGATTAGCCTGATAACTTCTTTCCTGTGCAACTTTCCATTGCCTCATTATTGGCCAGAAAACTTGTTAGGCAGCTGAGGAAACCTAAAATTGTTCAGTGACAGCCAACAGATGGGAAAAAGCAAGAGCCAGCTAAGGGGCAGCTACAGTTCAAATTAATCTGACTTTTAAAGCCCAAATGACTACAGAGGTTTTATTTTGTTTTTATTTATATATTAAATGCTCCTTTTAATTGTAGTAAGTTCACTCACATCCCTACCCCCCCCAACTCCTCACCCCTGTAAAAAAACAAAACAAAACAAAACAAAACCAGTCTTTCCTTTCTAACAAAATCCCTTCTAACATCTGGTTCCTCCTAGAGCAGGGCCGCATAGAGAAGTATCATGAGGACAGAGGATGTCAGCAAAAGAACTCCCCATCAAGAATTACACAGTCCTAATGAAATAAACAGAACTAAACACCTCTGAAATTGAGAAGCCCCTGGCTGGAGAAGGGAGAGGTACCTAAGATCTGGCCTAGGTCAGCAGGCTATCAATACTGCCACCTTTCTTTTGCTTCTGGCACTTTGACAGATCCATCTAACTATGCAGGTTTCCACTTTTCTTACAGAAAACTTCCCCTGAGTTCTGGGGCATTCTCTTTGCCACCACCTTGAATTATGTATCTGCAAATATGCCATCCCCTCCCCATACTTATTTCTTAAAAGAGCCTTTTGCTACCTCACAATACACAATACTAGGAACACATGTGTCAGTGAAAAATGCTTCAAAGCTACCTTATGTTACTTATCTGTGTAACAGATATACAGTGTCAGGAGAGGATAAGAAGAAATGCAGAGGTGGTGGGGACCCCCATACGAGGTTCAGAGACCACTTAATTAAGGTCAAAAAGGGCTGAGAGGCACCTAAAAATTACCATGGGTCAAGACAGATGGAATAGTGTGCCCTCTGGTATAAATCTCCACTCATTAAATTAGAGGGCAATGGTATTATTCCCTTATGCACTACTGCACTACTAACTGTAAGAGTGATAGAACAGGAAACCCATTACAGGGAAGGAGATGTTGTAAAAGCATTAGTACACAGGTAAAGGACTCCCATTCCAAGATTTTTAATTAACTTGAAAATCTTTCTCATCATCAACCTGATCTGATTTGAGAATACTATCACAAAATGCCTCCAAAGTATTTTTGAATTCCAGGGAGAATTATTACCTTTGGACCTTCCAGTGAGATAGTAGTATATATTTGCTTTCCGCCCAGAATTGCTACTAATATTAACCACACAACAAAAAATACTGGCTGCTGGTTTTTATGTGGAAGGGTATGAAAACAAATGAAATTACAGAGCACACAAGGAGTGGTAAAGCTCATGCACATGTGTAACCATTCTTCACACCTGCCAAACTCTCATATTCCTAAAGCAGTTTGTAACAAACCACTCCTGCTCAAGAAGCTGCAGTGCCTCCCAAGCATTTTTAGAATAAAATACAAACCAACCCCTATGTCTGAAAGTTAAAGCCCTTCACTGTCTGGTTCCAGTCTATCTTTCTAGGCTGATTATTATGTTAATACCTTTTACTCATGCTAAGCTCTAGAAAAATGGGCCTATTTACTCCCCATAACTAATCTCCCATGTGCGATACTCTCCCTTCTCACCTCTGCCTACTAGAACTCTTGAAGCGCCACTTCCTTCAAAAGACTTTTCCTGATTCCTCCATTTGTTGAGTTTCCCTCTCCACTACACCCAGTCACAGTAGAAAACCTACATTTACTATATATGTTTCAACAGCCTATAGAAAGCAAGCTCCTTGAAGGCAAGATCTGTATTTGTAACCATAGTACCCAGCACAGTGCTCTGCACATAGCAGACAATGAATGCTTGTTATTATAGATGTCACCAGAGAATCTTGCTTTTCATAAAGGAAGGATGTTGAATTACTAGACCTGGTCTCCTTGAATGTTTGAGGTTCATTTCTATAAGTACTTTAAAGGATATGTGCCTTCTGGAATCTGAATTCCACTCCCAACTTTGGTAATAGTGTCTGCCTTTCCTCAGACTAGCTTATCTTTGATCTGTAAAGAAGGTTGGTGCAGAAGTGAATTGCTCTGGCCCCTTTGCTAACTGTTCTTGATTCTCATCTGTGTAGCTCCCAGATCTGTCCAAAGCTTGGCCTTCTTGGACCTGTTGTCTTCTAGGGCTCTGGCCAGCCATGGGCCAAGAACCACCTAGGATCTTAGCTGGAAAAGAACGTACAATTCATCTAGATTCTTATTCCACAACTGGAAATCCTGGCTTCAATTCAATTACTACCTAACAGGTACCTCGCTGGCCAGCAGGGATACAAAACCAAAAACGAAACCACTCCTGCTCACAAGAAGGTTTGTATAGGAGCTGCTTGGGCTCTCAGTGAGGGCTCAAGATAGCTGCAGATCTGTATTGGCAGATGTAGTCTCTCACCAGCAGCTCTCAAGATTACATCACAGTCAGCTTTCCCAATCCCTGCTCCAATCCCCATGTATAAATCCTTATGCTGAACAAGCTTACTTTTCACTGGAGAAGCGATCGAATGTGGTGGGGAGGGGTGCTAGAAAGAAGAGCTGATAATGACTCTGGTTCTGAATCTGAGGGATTGGAAAAATGGTGGTGCCCTCAACAGAATTAGGGAATCTGGGAGAAGGTAAGAAGTTGTTTTGGACATTTTGAATTTGAGATGCCTGTGGAACAATCCAAGTAGAGATCAATCAATCAACAGACATTTATTAAGCAAGATAGCTATCCAGGAAGCCACTGGAGATACAGTACTGGAGGTCAGGATAAAGTTAAGGGCTGGGATTTGGGAGTCTTCAGTATAGAGATTGTAGCTGAATCCATAAGAGATGATGACTAAGAATGATAGCTGAATCTAAGGAGCTGATGAGATCACCTAGAGGGTTTCAAATAGAGCAGGGGAGTACACCGA